ATAGGCCCCACAAAACGGTACCTGCCGATATTCGGTATTTTGATGATTTTAGCGACATCATTCAACTGGACATTCCAACATGACTTACTACCCACGCACTCAGCATGCGCCATCCAAAAATGGTATCAAAATCAGGTTCTTTGCTTCATTTCCAGCGCACAATGGTCACCAAAATCTTCGGATACCAATCCGTTGGACTATTGTATCTGGAGTATTTTGGAAAGCAAGGTTGACACTAAAAAATACCAAATGTGTCGATCACCTTAAGCAAGCGCTTCGCCGGGAATGGACCAAAATACCGCAGAGCAACATTCAGGCAGTGTGTGACGGTTTCATTGGCCGTTTGAAGGCCATAATTCGTGCCAAAGGTGGCCAATTCGAACAAATCTAAACTTAATCTAAAATTTGATGCTATTTCTAATTTTTTTGCTTTCATTCAATAAAATTAAAAAGAAAATGAAAATGTATGGCGTTTGACTTGCGTTTTTTTATCTCACATTGTATGTGCGCTATAGGAGAACATGGAGCTAGATATTCAATGTTTTGCCACGGATACCGTTATATAATGTTCCGCCACAGGAGCTAGAACCCATTATTACCTACAAATACAAATTTTTAGACAATTCCCTGAAAAAAGGTGGTAAAAATCATAAAAATATCGATTATCGGTGGACATCGTTATATGGGGGCTATGGAGCCAAATTTTGAAGCTCTATTTTGGTTTTGTTTTCAAAAAAGCCGGATGTAAATAATTATGTTAATTAAAGTATATCTTAAGATAATTTTCTAAATAAATAAGGTGTGGCATTAAATATCTCTAAGAATATAATTTTTTAATACACAAACAAATGCATTAGAATCCTTATTCTACAGTGTGTTTTTTTTCAAAACTATGATATTTTGGAATTTTCAATTGTAATATAGCACTCTTTGGGTGTTACGGCCACAACCCACTCGCTTTTGTATTAATTGATTTTATTTTGAAACATTTTTCGTCACACTCTTGTGCTTAGATATTCTGATTGAAGTGTCCACTTGTGTCCATCGAATTGAATATTTTTTTTGGGGGGGAGGGGGAGCATATAAGGGATTTTTTCGATGGGTGGTGAATGCATTTAATGGTCACAAACATTTGCATCTAAAATCTAAATACATTTGCTGTCGAATACGTATTGAAGTGTTACAAATGTTAAAAGCCAAATATAGCGCATGAAATGCATGACCACCGCTGATTATATTAGAGGGTCAGAATTATTGATTCCTTAATACCCTACGGCAGGTTATTGACAACTTTTCGTAATTTTTTGAGAACAAAGGTGGTCAAATTTTGATACGTTCGACCTAAAAAAATTAATTTAATTAAATTAATTCGTTGTCATTTCATATAACATATTTTTTGTTTTTTACTTTCTTTTTAAGAGAATTGTTGGTATTTAACTTTTCTAGTAATACCAAAATTTTCTTTAACAAAAACCAAAAAATAAAAATATTTTTTGTTAAAGAGCACATATAATTCGACTAGAACCATTTATGATTTTCCTCTATAAAAAATTTTTGCCATGTTGTACGTCAAAGTGCATACATCGCTGAATAAGGCATTGATGTGACGAGTTTCTGTCAACGTTTGAAAATAAAACATTTGACAAATTTCATTTATATTCCGTTTTGCAAAGTTTTTTTTTTGATAAATGGGAAATTTATTTTAAGGGCAAAATTAGTAAAAGATCGCACTCTCAAACCAATTCAGAGCGAGAAGGAAAACTAAAAAAAATATTGAATTTCTCAATCTCCATATTGCCTAATCACTTCTTTCAAAAGTTAAATAGGTCTGACTTTATGATAACCCAAACCAGTCGAGTTATTTAGAAAATGCGTTTTTTTTAAGAAATTTGTGATTAGATTTTTGTACCCTCTAACAGGGACGTACGCAAAATGGCCTTTTCTGAGATTTTTATACATTTTATATGTAATCGTTAATATTTGTAGACGAGAGCCCAATCCCAGAAATGGCGTTTAAATTATTATATTAGTATGAATGGTTCATATGTCTTTACAGGGCGAGATAAAAAAACTGCATCAAAGCCAATCGCCATTGGCTTTGATATCGGAAGTAGCATCGAATTTTAGAATAAGTTTAGATTTTTTCGATTTGGTCACCTTTGGCACGAGTTATATCCTTCAAACGGCCAATGAACGCGACCCATGCTGCCCGAATGTTGCTCTGCGGTATTTTGACCCATTTCCGGGGAAGCGCTTGCTTGAGGTGATCGACACTTTGGTATTTTTTAGTGCCAACCTTGCTTTCCAAAATACACCAGACACAATAGTCAAACGGATTGCTATCCGGAGATTTTGGTTGCCATTGTGCGCTGGAAATGAAGCGAGCAAGCTCATTTTGTAACCATTATTGGGTGGCGCGTGCTGAGAGCGATGGTGCTGAGTCCTGTTGGAATGACCAAGGTCTGCGGCCAAAATGTTTGCGTTCCAAATATTTTCGCGATAATATTCGCCAGTATATTTTCGCGATAATATTCTGATGCCACGGTCGATACGAGCGGAGAGCGACCATCGGCTGTAATGGCTGCCCACGCCATCTCCTTGGACGAACTTTGCTATATCCCTTGCAAATTGAAAGAGAATTTTTGTCGCCACAATGGACAGACACACAGTGCTAAGTCGTCTCTGTTCGAGATGTGTATGATCCAGTATAAGGAGGTAGTTTTTGAAGTGTGTACTCATTAATACGAAAGGTACTAAACGGTACTAAATTTGGTACAATTCGAATTTGGAGGAACTGATGGAGCTGGAAACCTTAAGTTTGAAATTAACATTACTGGCGGAGTGTAGGATTGGGGTATGGACGTAATTTTCAAAATTTCTACATATGTGCATGAACGATACTAAATGGTACTAAATTTGGTACAATTTGGATTTGGGTTAACCGATAGAGCTGGAATCCCTAAATTTGGAAATAAGATTATTTTGCATTGTAGGAATGGGATATGTAGGTCGTTTTGTAAATTCGTACGTATGTGTACTAAGTGGTACCACACATGGCACAATTTAAATTTTGGGAGAACTGATAGAGTAGGAATTCTGAAACTTGGAAATAAGATTTCTAGTGCAGTCTACGACTGAGATATGTAGGTAGTTTTGAAAATTCGTTGGAATTATGATATTTGAAAATGAGATTAATATTGCATTGTAGGACTGGGGTATTTTAGTGAATTCGTGCACATGTGTACTAAATAGTACTGAGTTTGGTAGAATTTAAATTTTGGATGAGATGATTAAGTATAAGATTTCTATTAGATTGTGTGATGTAAGTATTTTTGTAAATTCGTACTTAGGTGTACTATATGGTACTAAATTTGGTACAATTTGGATTTAGATGAACCGATGCAGCTCTAACCCAGAAATTGAGAATTAAGATTACTGTTGGAGTGTAGAATTGTATTATGCAGGGAGTTTAGGAAATTCGTACTTATCTTTCATTAGGGTTAATTTAGAGTTAGGAGGTGTTTTTTTTTTTACGGGAAATACTAAATATGGAATTCGATATTTGGGAAGGGATATGAATCTTAAATTAATGTGCATTGAAATTAGTCATCCAATTTGTAACTTGATTTTAATAAATTGTGGTAATTTATTTAATACATTCTACTTGGGGGGAACCACTTGGCTGAACATAAATTAACCTAATATAAATTCATTATTCCACAACGAAGTAGCGGGTACTTGCCAGTTTTTAATTTTATTGTAATACCCCAACTTGGAAAATGTGAAGATCCCAGATCTTAAAGTGTAGAATTTTAGTCTAAAACACATCTTTTTTTTACGATTTAGTATGAATTAAAAAAAAAAAAAAAAATAAAAACAAGTTCGGTCCGGCCGAACTTTTAATAACCTCCAACTAGAACCAATTATGACCCTAGAACCAATTATGACTCACAAATACGAATTTTTAGACATATTCGTGGGAAAATTTGGCAAAAATCATCAAAATACCGAATATCGGGAGGTACCGCTATATAGGGCTATAGAAAAGCGTGGACCTATACATACAATATTTCGCCAACGAAGCTAGAACTCATTATGACAAACAAATTCCAATTTTTAGACAAATCCGTGATAAAATGTGACAAAAACCATCAAAATACCGAGTATCGGAAGATACCGTTTTATGGAGGCTATACCAAAACGTAGACCTATACATACAATGTTTCGCCACCGGAGCTAGAACCCATTATGACCAACAAATACCAATTTTTAGACAAATCCATGAAAAAATGTGGTAAAAATCATCAAAATATCGAAGATCGGGAGGTACCGTTATATGAGGAGGAGGTACCTCCTTTCCAAGATGGAGGGTATAAAAACGCCCTCCTTTATCACCCAACTATAAACTATGATTTAAAAATTCTAGTTATAGCCGTTTCATCTGGGCGTTGATGAGAGAATCAAAAACTCATCTTTTTACATATGTTACATATATATTTCAGATTTCTATATCTGAAAGGATAATATATTGTAGTTTTTTGATCAAAATATGAATTTTGAAGATTTTGGCTCTAAAATAAGAAGTACGCCTTTTTGTTCAAATTTCGAATAGCGATCGTAATTTTCGTGCGAAATTTCAAACCACTAGCTCTAAAAATATAGGATTTAATCACAAAATATTGTTTACGCCTTTTTTAGTAAGAATTTTCAAAATACGAGCTAATCTGAGTACAGAATATAAACCGTGTGAAAAAGGTTTTTTGGTACTATTTAGTACCTATGGTTTCGAATCTTCAAAAACCCCAAATTATCCAATGTCTTGTATAAAATGTAACCTAGAACTGAATTTTGAAGACTTTAGCTCTGAATGATTAGTAGAAAGTTCCGAAAGCCCCGCCCTATCTCGGCTCTAGCCTTTTGAAATGGCACTTAGCCACTCATCTTTATCATTGCAGATATATTGACTCTGAACTATTTATTAAAAAAATTCAAATAAAATCTTCGGTGTTTTTGCACTTTATTTTCATTTTTTTTTTTCTTCTTTGAAGTACAAAATTAAAAGATTTTCTTTTTATTTCGGGAATAATTTCGCAACAACAAAACTTTAAGTTTTCTTTGTTTTTGTTTTTTTTTTTTTAAATATATATAAATAAATAAATTTTGATACATCAACTAAAACTAGTCAACGAATTATGAATAGAATTTGTTTTAGAATCGTTTTGCAGATCACTTAGAGAATAAGGAAATAAATAATAATACACATTAGAAATACAAAAATAGAGTAAGGTCCACGTGCTTACGTAGAGAATCGTACAAAATATTGAAATATTTTACAAAAAAAGAGAGACGACTGGTGATGGTTTATGTGCGGGGTGGAGGATAAATGGTGGCTGGCAGGGGGTGCTTGGTGCATGGGACACATGCAGTCGCGGCGCCACCCCCCATATGGTAGTGTAGAAGCATCTGATACAAATGTTGTACATGACAAATCACCCTTTGTGATTTGGAACGGCCAACAACTGGCCTCTGTTGGGGCCGCACAGTCACATCCGCCATTTTCAATCATTTTGTTGGCCGTCGCTTACATGGCGGTAATCATGTGGCTGTCATCCTGCTGGTTGTCGGCGATCAGTTTCGACTTGGTCTTCGAAATGTCGACAATCTGTTGTTTTTTGCTGTCATCTGTGCGGTTGGTGTTGTTGGCATCGACGTCATCCTCATTGATGGTGTCCGACGCATATGAATTGGGTGGTGGTGAATCTCGTTCCTCGTTTTCTTCGTAGATAACGTCGCAATTTGTGGGTATCGACTTGGGTGGTGGCTTCTTGACTTGCTTTGTCTTTTTATTGTTGTTGCTGTTGTTGTTGTTCATGTTGGCGTTGTTCTGTTGCAACTCATTCATTTGGATTTGCATTTCACGCAGGCGATCAGTCAACAGATACATATCACGTTCCTGAGACTCACAGCGTTCCCGTAGCTCGGCAATTTCCCGTAAGTCTTCAGGACGAGGATCACGTCGTTCATAGCGCATACGCATCTCCTCAAAGAGATTGGTGAGACAGCGACATTTTCGATGTAGCTGTTCGATTTCGTTGGCGTTGCTAATGTCCCGTTTGTCGAGAGCGATCTTTTCAGCATCGTAGGCAGCTTTGAGATCTTTCAAGTCACGTTTGTAGCGCAGTTCGATTTCTTTGATTTTCTCCTCGGCATCGAACATTTTCTGTCGATGTCTTTCGGCCAGTTCTTGGAGGGCTTGTTCCTTTTCGGCTGTCAATTTGACTTTAAGTTTTTGCAGCTCCTTTTCGTGCTCTCGCGTTAATTCTTGGGTATTTATTTGTAACTCTTTGGCAAATTCTTCTTTAACTTGGCCTAAACGTTCACGGAATTTTTCCTCCATTTCTTGCTTCTCCTCCTCGAATTCGTTGCGCAATTTCAATTCCAAAGCTTCCCGTCTTTCTTCTTCCTGACACATGGCTTTTTGGAAGTCACGATCTGCCCGGTCCAAATGCATGCGAGTCTGTAGCAAAGCCTGATCAGATTTTTCTCTTAATTCCAAGAATTCTCTCGATTTACGTTCCAGTGCCTCCTGGGCTTCGGTCAACTCTGCTCGCAGCTCTTCCTCGTTGGCGGTATAACGATTTGTGAGGGCCTTTAACTCTTCAACATGCTCCACTTGCAGCTTATCCAAGGCATCGCGTCGCTCGTCCACATAAACAGATTCAAGTTCATTTTTCAGTCTTGTCATCTCTGTGTACAGTTTATCTTCCCAAAATGCGGCAGCTTCGTTGCGTACTTCATCGATTCGATAAATCATTTGACGTTCCTTATCATAGAGAGCATTATCACAATGGAATTTTATTTTGGTAACAGCCTCAATTTGTTCCTGCAGACTAGTGTTGGCTGTCTCTAACTCTGTCTTCAGAGATTCGATTTGTGACATCAGAGTTTGTATGGATGTGGCCTGTTCATTGACAACACCGCGCAACGAGGTAACCTGTTTCTGATAGATTTTCAAATCATCGGCTTCTTTGCTCAACGCTTCCAGTTCATTTTCGAGAAGTTCGACATTTTCAAAGGCTTCCTTACGTGCTGCCTCGACTTTATCTATACGTTCTTTGCATTGCTTTTGCGTTTCACGCAATTGCCATTCACAGTCGGTCATTATGGATTCTTCACGTTCTGGAAAAGAAGAGAAGAAGTTAATGTTAAAGGGAGTAATGGACATATTTGAGAAATTTGGGACCTTAAAGAATTTCAAAATTGGAATCGGAATCTAATTAGGTTATTTCAGATATATGTAGGACCGTGGAAATATCATAGAATAAAAAAAATATAATTGGTTTTTAACGATTTTTTTTCTCAAAATATTAGATTGCGGATTTTTTTTTTTAAGAAATTTGAGTTTTGTTTAACAATGCCGACGTTTTCAGACATTATTTTATGTAAAATCTTGATAGCTACAGACATCGGCTCATGCAATGTTGAGAAATAAAATTTAAATTAAATAAAATCTTAAATCTAAGAGCGGTTATCCAAACAGAGAATAGTTGAATTAACAGAATATTTAAAACAGTGAGAGTAATCTAAAGTTTAAACAAACTTAAGTTTTAGTTCAGATCCCGGATCCCATATTTTCATTAACAGAAATTTAATTTTCAATTTATTGAGCAAAATATTTACGGATTGTTCAGAGAATAACATTAAGAGACTTAAAATATAGGATTGCAGATTTTTTAGAACATCATTCCGCTACTATTATATCTAGGGTAATGCATTTCTAAATATGAATTTAAGGGACTATGATCGTGGAGAATTTGCAGGGCCAAACAGGATTGTGTATTATTTAGGACAATTTGCAGGCCCGGTCTGAATCGCGGATTGTTTAGAATAATTGACCTAATGACCATACCAGGGATCGTGGATTTTGAGAAGATATTTCAGGGACCGCCAAATCAAGAACTGTTGGTTTATGAGGAGAAACTTAAGAGACAATTAGATCAAAGATCGAAATATTTTGACAACAAAGTTCAAGGACAAAAAGATCAAGGCTTTGCATTTTTGAGAGTTATATTTTGGAGCCACAATGATTCTTGATCGACATAGAAAATTGAAAAGAAATTTCAGGGACCATTTCAGAGACCAAAAAAGGTGATGTTTTTGAAAAAAAAAAAAAAAAAAAAAAAAAACTGGGATAATCTGGTCCACGATTGTAGAACAACAGACTAAGAATGGGTGGTTGTTGTGAAGAAATTGCAGGGACCAACAGGTCAAAGTTTCTGGAAATTTCGGGCACCACGACTATGAACTCAAGGATGGTGTACTTACCAGAAGAACTTTCAGGGGCCACCGTAACAACGGTAGCATATTTTTGAAAGAAAAATTCAAAGATTATGAATTTTGAAGGATTATAAGGAACTTAAAATGCATTATTTAAAAAAACAAGTAAAAAAGCAGCTAAGTTCGACCGGGCCTCAACCATTTCGAAGGAAATTGAAAAATTTAAAAAAATCCGAAAACTACCACTTAAATGAAAATCGTTATTTGGGGACTATACGAAGACGTGGACCTGCATACGAATTTTTTTTCATAGGCTGTAGTGTCCATTAAGAACTTCAAATACGAAATTTGTTACAATTGCGGTGAAAAATGACGCAAACATCATGCAAATATGGAGAATAGGGAGGTACAGTCATATGAAGGCTATACGAACATATGGACCTGCATATGAATTTTTTGGCCATAAGTTGTAGTACCAATTCCGGTGAATAATGTTGCCGAAATCGTCATAATACTGACTATATACATGGGGGCAATACGAAGACGTGGACCTACATATAAAAATTGTTGTCATAAGCTGTAGTACCCGTTACGAACTTCAAATACGAAATTCGAATAATGAAAATACCGAATATCGGGAGGTACCGTTATATGGGGGCTATACGAAGATCTGAACCTGCATACAAACATTTTTGCCAGGCTGTAGTACCCATTGGCATCTTCCAGTACGAAATTTGAAACGATGCCGGTAAAATATGTTGCTGAAATCATCAAAATATCGAATATCGTGAGGTGCCCTTATATGGGGGCTATACGAAAACGTGGACCGACATGGCCCATTTACAAACCTAACCTGCCTACTATGTATAAACTATGCATGCATGCAAAATTTTAGCCTTCTATCTCAATTCGTTCCAAAGATAGAGTGATTACAACAGACGGACAGACATACAGACGGACATCGCTAGATCGTCTTAGAATTTTACGCTGATCCAGAATATATGAATATTTCGAGGAGAAATGACAAACGTTATAACCCTCCATAGAATGGTGGATGGTATAAAAATAATTTTCAAGACTATCTGGTCTAGGTCTGGATTCTTCAGAAAAAATTTTTGGATCAAAGATTTTTAACAAAAAATTTCAGGGACAAGGTGAGCAAGGTTCTGGATTCTTGAGAGTGAATTCAGAAACCATCATGCTCCGTGGTCATCCTGCATAATTAAAAATAACTTTTAGAGATCACCAGATCAAGGATAGTAGACTTTTGAGAATAAGTTACAATGACCACAATATCAATGATTTTTGAAGAAATTTCTGGAACCAGATACAGATCCAGAATATTTAAGAACACCAGGGCAAGAATAGGGGTTTTTTGCAAAGACAGTAGCAGATTTTTCAGATGGTTTTAAGACTATCAATTCTGGGTCGGAGATTTTTAAAGCCGTGGATTTTAAAGAAAATTTTACAAAGTAATCAAATCCAGGATGAGGCATTTTACAGAGGAAATATTTCAAATAATCAGATCGTTAATTTTAATAACGAATTTTTTAAACAATCAGATCTAGAATATTGGATTTTTAAAAATAATTTCAAAGGACTTTCAGATGTGTGTTCATTGATTATACCCTACACCACATAGTGGTAAGGGTATTATGTCTTTGTGCATTTGTTTGTAACATGGAGAAGGAAACGAGTTAGACCCATAGTTACTTTTGAGAACCTTCATAGAATCACTTTCTGAGTCGATTTATGCATGTCCGTCCGTCTGTCCGTCCGTCCGTCCGTCCGTCCGTCCGTCTGTCCATGTATTCTTGTGAACAAAATGCAGGTCGCATTTATTATCCGATTGAGATGAAATTTTCCAAACAATATTTTTTTGGCCCAAGGACGAACCCTATTGAAATTGGTGAGAATCGGATCAAATTTAGATATAGCTCCCATATATATCTTCATCCGATTTCGGGTTAATTGACCACCAAATGGCCAATATCAGCCCAAATGGCCCGAATTTTGGCACACGTGACCGAGATTAGCCTTAAAGCAAATACAACAAATTTGGAGAAAATCGGTTCAGGAACAGCTATAGCTCCCATATATATGTTTTATCCGATTTGGTGTTTAAGCCTCTCACATTCGTAATATGCACTCCACAAGAATGATATTTGGTACCAGATATAAGATACAGCCCAGAAATAGCTGTTTGTAATTTTATCGAAATCGGTTCAGATTTGGATATAGCTCCCATATATATCTTCATCCGATTTCGGGTTAATTGGGCACCAAATGGCCGATATAAGTCCAAATGGACTGAATTTTAGTACATCGGACCAAATTCAGCCTAAAAGCAAGTATATCAAATTTAGTGAAAATCGGTTCAGATATAGATATAGCAACCATATATATGTTTCATCCGATTTAGTGTTTTAGTCCCATACATTCGTAATATTCACTCCACAACCGTGATATTTGGTACCAGGTATTAGATGGAGCACAGGAATAGCTGTTTTAAATTTTATCGAAATCGGTTCAGATTTGAATATAGCTCCCATATATATCTTCATCCGATTTAGGGTTAAATGTGCACTAAATGGTCAATATCAGCCCAAATCACCTGAATTTTCGTACATAAGACCGAATTCAGTCTAGAAGCTAATACGTAAAATTTGGAGAACCCCGGTTCAGAGATAGCTATAGAATTAGATAGATTTTGTACCAAATATCTCATAGAGCTCTGAAATGCACTGTATAAACCTTTTTACGAGAGCTCTACTAAATATGCATAGTGGTGTAGGGTATCATATAGTCGGCCCCGCCCGACTTTTGAGCTTTCCTTACTGGTTTTTAAAAAGAGTTTTCAGGGGCTATAAATTCTAGGATCGCGGACTTTAAAAGAGAATGTTCCAAGTAATAGTTTAAAATTACTTTTGCGAGCTCTCCGGCAAAAATCTAAATTCCCATTTTTTGCCATATTTCGCATATTTGTCATTAATTTTCCATTCTTAAGTTTAAATTTGCCTTCAACTCACCCATATTTTGTGTCCGAAGCATTTCAAATTCTCTTTGCCATTTATCCTCACATATTTTCCTCTCATTTTCCGAATTTTCCAGAGCACTCTTCAGCAAAGCTACCTGTTCTTCCAGTGATGTGCGTATCCTTTCGACTTCATCGCGCTGTTCCTGGGCATCGGTTTGGGCTTGAGCCAATTGGGTTTGTAAATTACTAGCCAACGCTTGCGTTTGTTTATATTTTTCTTGTAATTCGTTATACTGAGTTTCGAGTTCATCTGTGTAAGAAAAACAGAAACAAACATAGAATGGGGGATATACAAAAGGCTAGAATTACTGAACATTGGCCAATTGCACCCTTTGCAAATTAAAAACGAAAAAGATAAGGGTTAAAAAAGAACGACTACAAACCATATTTCGCTTTCAACTCATCTTCGCAGTCGTGAAAACGATGGCGTAGATTTGTCTTTTCATCCTCCAGTACTTTCAGTTTTTGGCGGACATATTCATCATCCCGTTGAGCTGCATTTAATTCTCCCTGTAATCCTATTGCATTGAAAGAAATTGCATTAAGTTTTTTGTTCTACGTTTTGTTTTTCATTTCGGTTTCTTTCGTTGGGGCTTAGCGGGCGTGGGTGTGCAAGCATATCGGTTTGCTAACCCCTTTTTTCGGCGGCCCCTTTGTGAGCACTACACCCTGACACTTACTTTCAACATTCCAGGTTTTGGTGGATAATTCTTGTTCTAAGGTTTCAATTTTCATTTGCATTTCATTGATTTTCGTTTGCAGTTGATTCACATTTTTGTGCGCATCTTCCAGTTGTAGCGTAAATTGAGTTTTCTGCTCCAAGAGTTCCTTTCTGCAATGGAAAAGAAAGAGAAAAGGGCTCCAATTGTGAAAATATGTTAATGGAAATTAAAGTGCAGAACATTGATCTTAGATTGTTTTAATCTCGTTTTTATTCGAACGGGGAGAAATTTGTTTTCTTATCTGTGGGAATGAATATTTAAGAGAGTGAGCTTAAATCGATTTTGAATATTTTTTCAATAAATTTTAATGTAGAAATAGATGCTCTATAGCAGTTTTTACCTAAGGAATTTATTTAGATTTTTAATGCAGAGATAGTGTTCTAAATAATTTAAGGATAACAATGGAATTTGGAAAATGCTTCAAATATAAAAATTCGTATGTTTTGGGGAGCGCAGAATGCAGTATTTCAATCAAATAGTTTGAAGCCTGTAAGAAAAGTTCAAATTCAATATCATTATTAAATTAGCATTACGGTCTGAGTCCAGAGAGAGTTATATCTTAATCTGAATAGTTTTTCGGCAAATATGACAGAAATTTTTCTAAGCTCGTTCCATATATCATTTACTTTATAAGTTTTACACATTTTTAGAAATTATGAGCTCCTGTAAGAATACAATACAATGATAATGGCAGAATGCATCTCCGCTGGTAAAAATATAGCTAAATAGAAAAAATTAAGTGAAACTCCAAAAAATTAAATATTTTTCTTTGTAAAGCCAAAATTTTAGGTCTGCATCTCAACTGTCGTGTTGTTTTCTAGTACAACCCGTTTTGCTGGCCCTTCTAAAGAATACATTTTATATGTACTATTTGTTTATCATTCAAAACAATATTAATTTCGCTTTAATTGTCCCGTTTCTGCCTTTGATCGATTTAACATCAATATAATTTAATGTGATTTTTGTTCAAATACGGTGTTTTGACACTTATGCTCAGCATTTGACCACATGTTTATATACAGTGTGAGATAAATAAAACTGCAACAAAGTCAAAAGCCATAATTTTTAAATTTTTTTAAAATTTTATTAAATGAAAGCAAAAAATTTCGGAAAAAGCATCCAATTTTGGAATAAGTTTAGAATTACACGAATTGATCATCTTTGGCACGAATTATGGCCTTCAAACGGCCAACCGAATATTGCTCTGCAGTATTTTGGTCCATTCCCGACGAAGCGTTTGCTTGAGGTGATCGACACTTTTGTATTTTTTAGTGCCAACCTTGCTTTCCAAAATGCTCAAGACACAATAGTCCAACGGATTGGTATCCGGAGATTTTGGTGGCCATTGTGTGCTGGAAATGAAGCGAGGAACCTAAATTCGTAACCATTCTTGGATGGCGCGTGTTGAGTGCTATGGTGATGAGTTTTGTTGGAGTTTCCAAGTTCTGCGGCCAATATGTTTGGGTGCCAAAGGCTTTAATACACCCTCCAGAATATTTTTGCGATAATATTCGGCATTTATTCTGATGCCACGGTCGATTAATACTAGCGGAGAGCGACCATCGGCTGTTATGGCGTGATGGTGTGCACCATGGCCGGCGCTTAAGTTCTGGTGGCCAACCAAAGGTGCACATTTTCAGCTGATCTCTTAGGCAAATAAACACGATCATTTTATTTGTTTATAAACAGTTGGACAATGAATGTTTTCTCATCGGAGAAAACCACATTCGGCAGTTCACCACTTTCGGCCAAGCGGAGCAACTCTTTAGCTCTTTTGAGTCTATTTTCTTGCCTTTGCGGTGTAAGTTCTTGCACTTTTTGGAATATCAATGCGTTTACCCCGAGGTCATTTTTATACCCTGCAACACTATGTGTTTGGGGGTATTATAAGTATGGTTGGGCCAAAAATTATGTAACACCTCGAAATATTGGTTCCCCTTATAGGAAAGTATAAATCTATCTTCCTATCTCGCCGAGTTGATTCGATCTAGCCATGTATGTCCGTCCGTCCGACTGTCCATGTTAATTTGTAATCACTCACTCTATATTATGGCTCGAACTTCACGAAATTTTGGATTGGGCTAGAATAGAAGCCTATTGCTTTTGGAGATGATCGCATAATATTTAGGGCTTGAAATAGACCAAGAACTGAAAAATTTCCTGATTTTACAATTGCTCTACAGGTCGCAATAACGGACCAATCGACGGAAGTTAGGGCTGGGCAGATGTCTCCCAAATAGCGAAATATTTACAATGAGTATATACAAAGGAAAGGGATGTTAGCTAAAATGTTTATATCTCAAGAATGGCTGGACAGATTTTGACAAATTTTGTCAATTCTGAATGGCCCCTTGGCTTAATAGAATAAAATCTAAAAAAATCACATAAAAAGATGCTAATAATGATGTTAATATAGATTTTGTAGTATTTGTGACATTCTTTTTATTTCATGCATGCAATTTTTTCAATTTGACTTAATATTGAAGTGTATATTTTGTAATATTTTTATACCCTACACAACAAGGTGGTCAGGGTATTATGTCTTTGTGCATTTGTTTTTTACAGGCAAAAGGAGATAACCCCATAGTTCCTTTTGATGATCTGCATAGAATCACATTCTTAGTCGATTTCTGCATGTACGTCCGTCCGTCCATCTGTCCGTCTGTCCATGTATTTTTTTAAACAAAGTACAGTTCGCATTTATTGCCCTATCCAGATGAAATTTTGCACAAATCATTTGCTTGGCCCAAGGACGAACCCTATCGAAATTGGAGATTATCGGTCAAAATTTAGATATAGATCCCACATATATCTTCGTCCGATTTGCTTTTTATTGTGCATAAAACGTGTAATATCAGCCCGAATAGTATGAAATTTTGCACAAATTAGGTCTGAAAATAAGTATGCCAAATTTTATCAAGATCGGTTCAGATTTGGATATAGCTCCTATATAAAACTTCGACCGATTTACGTTTTATTGTTCACCACACATTTAATATTTGTCCAAATGGGATGGCACTTACGACCGAATTGAGTCTAAAAGCTAGTATGTTAAATTTGGTGAAGATCGGTTCAGATATAGCTATAGCTTCCATATATACTGTTCATCCGATTTGTTATATTTGTTACCCACAGCCGTAATATGCACTCCGTAACAACGATATTCAGGGAAATATATCAAATACAGCTCAGATGCTGATGCTGCTGATGTTGCAGTTTTCTTCCGTCCACTTGACTTGACGTCGGGCTTCGCTACCAGTATCACGGTAACGAGCGATGGTACGAGTCACAAAAATTTATTCACATTTCAATGCTGGAGAGTAGCTGGTCTGAATCTCAGTGTCAGCAATCAGTAATCATACAAAAACGAACTACCAAATATAAGATCGCAAGTCCACCCCATCGGTCATAAAAAACAACAACGCTTTAAATAAACGCTAGTGTTGTTAAAACACATAGACTTCTATTTTGAACTATTTATTGGCTCTTGGCAGCAGTTTGAAAAATATATAATTCTTTGGCATTTCCATTCTTTGGCTAGATTGAAAAACCCCTATGTTCCTGAAAAATATTACATATTTATAAAATTTATCAACTATATCCTAATCTGAACTGATTGTCACAAAATTTTATATAAATTGGACACGAATTCGAAATGTATATTCCTAACAAGATACATGGAGAGATACACTGTAGATCAAATATGTAATTTTACTGCTGAATATTAAAAATTCATGCATTTTTTGTTACCATATTGTCAAAAAAAATCAATCATACTTCCAAAATTTAAATTTGGACCCTAAAAATTACCATAGTTTTAAAATTAATTGTTGTTTTTTTCTCAATCTTTCAAAGCATTATAGCATTTTTTACAAAATTATAATTTTTTTTGTTTTCTGGTTGGGCAGATGCAGTTTTTATAAATTTGTAGCTTTTGATCTGTTTGGCATATAGTGAGATGAATTTAGAGAGTGAAATATCAATTAATAAATTAATTGCTATATTCCTCAAATAGTTCCATTTCCGTTATTTTAACGAACTGTCGTTCACATTTCTTTGCCACTCTTTATGGACCGACAATCTATTCAACCTATAATCCCACGAACAGAAAACAATATGTTTTTGAACTTCAACATTTTATGATCTCCATATAGACGTCATTTAATTTTTTTCTTTCTTTCTTACAATGGAATTTACTTAAGACGCAAAGTCCACTCACTCACATACACGCTTTTCTTATACTCTTGTCTGTTCTGTTTTCAATTAACATGGGTCGCTCAACGGACAGTAGTGGGGTATGAAAACAAAGAAATTGTTCCCATTATTTCATTGTTGTTTTAAATGGTTTTTCTTCATTTGGAAAAATATGCAAATACAATTAAGTAAATAATGTGAATTTTATCGTAATTAAGATCGATTTATTTATTGCCTTGTAGCGTGGAAAATATGGAATGGACTTGATGGCCGCAATTAGAAGACGTCATACCAACTATGTGGCAAGTTTTTTCCACTTCTACGCCTTCAATTAAATGTTTAAGTTGTATTGATGGTTTTTGTTCTATTGTGCGTTCTCGTTTTCGAAGAAAATAAAATATTAAAAGTTTATGATTATAAATCACTGTTCTACAAAAAAAATCTATTTTTGCAAACATTTTTTACAGGCGATTTGTTTATTTTCATGGCAAAGTAATTTATACGTCAAGTGAGCTAAATTTGGAAAACTACACAAATTCATCACTCATGATCTTTGATAGTTTGAAATTTTCTTTGATTTTATCAAAATAAATTGCTCCCAGAAAAATAAAATTTTAAAATGAACAAAACGTTTGATTTTTGAAAAAAAAAAAACAAAACTTATTTTAATAGCAACAGTTATATTTATACCCAACAACACTGTGTGTTGTACTGTTATAAGTTTGATTGGGCCAAAAATTATGTAACACCTCAAAATATTGGTTTCCCACATAGGAAAGTATATATGGATCTTCCTATCTCGCCGAGCTGAGTCGATCTAGTTATGTGTGTCCGTCCGTCCGTCTGTCCATGTTAATTTAAAATCACGCCACAGATCGCAATTATGGCCGGATCCTCACGAAATTGAAAGTGGAGT